AAATTCTAGTAAGTTTACTATTAAAAATTTTTTAAATGAAAATCCAGTGAAAGTTTGGATCAATTGTTCATGTATTTAAAAGTTTACACAAGTTTTACCCAGATGCACTTTTATAACGTCATTTATATTTAAATTCTCTTAGTTCATAAGTGTTTCTGTGTTGAGAAGTATACAATTTAGGTACCTAAAATAATATACACAATTTTTTTTTACATTTCAGGATGTATCAGAAATGCAAAGAATTGTCCCTCTATTGGAGTTATTATGTAAGTAAATTAGCAAAAGATTTTCTTGACAGAGGTTGTAATTGTATGTAAAATTAGACATTACTATACTTCAGGTCATACATATTAATCTTAAGGAATATGAAAGAATAGAAATTACCAAGACATAAATGTTTTACTAGGCTAACCTTAACATCAACTGTAGTTTAGCCAGGGTTGCTTTAATTCAAAATTATTTCCTATCACAACTTAGAACTAAATCATAAAATACAAAATTTAATTATTAATGATCAAAAATGTAATTTCCATAGACAGTGTTATATTTTATTTAGCCAAAAATTCAAATGTTTAATGTCTACTCTAGGTGAACAAAAGGCATGTTTGAGGTGTTGAAAATGGCACTTCAAAAATAAGTACATTATTTTTGGGCTTGAAAGATCACCATTAATGTATTAGGTAAAAAAACTTTTTTTTTCTTGCTGTTAAATTTTTTCTCTGAATTCTTTTTATCTTTGACATGGTAATTTTGTTCTAAAACAAGGCTTTTTTTTTAGCCATGGATGAGCAGCTTATAGAACAGCTTTTTTTTTTGGGGTTTGTTTTTTCAAGTACAAACTTATAGCTCCTAGTTTTGTCATCTCTTGACCAATTTGAGATCTAATTACAGCTTCCGACTCAGGAGGTCTAATCCTTTTGATTGATATATTTGACTATGCCCAAGGTCTCGTAGATTAATTTATTCTAATCCTGTCTAAAAGAATTTCAGTTTGAGGGTAGGCTGGAGGAGATCCTGATGACTAATAAAATCTAATTGGGTATACGAGCATCCTACGCTTGGTATTGCTGGAACACAAAAATATAGCTAATAAAAAGGAAAACAAATGTCTCATAGATTAATTTACTCTAATCCTGCCTAAAAGAATTATGAATTATGTAGGCATAAAATATGACCTACTGTAGCTTATCATATAAGCATATCTTTACTCATGCAATTTTTCAAAATGTTTGTACAGGTTTTTGCACTTAATTACAAATTCTAATAAACCAGATGTGCCTAATCTCGAACTGCATTAACCTTTTTTTCTTGGGAAAGGTACATGGTCCAGTGAAGTAGTCCCATTCTGTCTAATGTAGCATGCCCAATAAAGTCTATGAATGAATTGTACAAGTGGTTTATAATGTTGGTTATATGTGTAGATAGTACTTGATGGAACTAATTATAAGAAATGGATGGCATGGCATTTTGGAATATTATTTTAGAGTTTAGAATTTAATATAGTTTAAGCATACTTAGATCTTGCTCAGAATTCTACTTGTGTTGTAACAGTTTTTTTCTCTGTTTTGGCCTAGTGAAAGTGTCTGTCCATAACCTCAGTTAACTACCAGAGAAACCAACCTAAAATTGTGCCATCTTCTGCTATAAGTGTATATTTTGCACCCAGGAGAAAATCTTTGGTAATCAGAAATGTAAATCTTAGATAAAATAATTAATAAAAATGGACAAAAACATTCCTGATTGCCTGGGGCAGACATGCAAATCAGTAATTATTGGCACATATTTTTGCAGTGACCTGGTGGCTGTATCAGTTTCATGATGTACTACACATGTTAAGTATATAGTCAATATCTGTAGTACCAACTATAGATTGAAATTGTTTTGCATTACTTTATCCCATCAGTGTTACATTACTAGCACAAAACTCATTGATTTATCCTCTTCAGTTAGGTTGTAGTTTGAAGGTTGTTGAGTTGTTTTTTTAACAGATGAAAAAATAAAGCAAAATTATAGATTGTGATATGGTACATTATCTCCTCTCACATAAATAGCTATTCTCATTCAGTGCTGCCCTCTATATGCAGACATTTTTTATGCATACCACAAGCCTTTTATCTCCCCTCATTTGGAATTGACTGATTCCAATGTGTGTCTCATGCAAATCATCATGGGACAATCCATATCTTTGTATTGATTCCTCTCAACAAGTTTACTCTTTATTGTACAATAGTGATATTTGTAACTTGTTGAATTATTCCGAAGTGGAATTATTTTATATTCTACCCAGTTACAGAACTTTATTTTATTTGTTTCTACCAAACACAGTTGTGTTTGGTTATTCATTTGGCATTATGAATTCTATGTTAGCACTTCAGAGGTTATATGTTCTATTAGCACATTTATACAGGCTTCAGATTGTGGTACTCCATGGTTTTACTTCATTTGGAAACTGATTGTCCAATGAACTGACTTTTTTTCGGGCCTCGCCTCAAGTTTGGGAGACCACACATTTCAAATACAGTCCACTGACTTTTGAAAGATAAGACGTTATACTGTTATGGTTTTTTAATAATTCTATTGTTAATATTGTTATCTGTCCTAATTTGGGTTCCATAACATAAGTTTTGTTAGATTGGTTAAAACTCGTAGTCCAGTTCAGGTTAATCATTAGTCTTAGTTGTATCTTTTCTACTATACCATTCACTTAGGCTTACCATGGTCTTTGTTATTTTAGGATATACCTGTAATTCATCTTACTGGTATATCTATCGTTAGTTTAACAATGTAATGTTTTTCTTCCATACATCATGTCTTATACATATGTTATTGTTACTACACACATCCTTAATTTTATACAATCACATCTATTTCATTTTCATTATTATTTTTTCTTTTATCCTCTTCCTGTTCACTTGGTTTGTGTGGAAACCTTGAGCTTGCATCCACAGAAGCTTATCCCGATATTGTACATACTTATTGTTCGATTAAGTTTTTTTTTTAGTGCTTAGTGATATTCTTTGTTATGTATTGTTCAATTAGGCTTCACAGGTGTTTATTTTCGGTTTACTTGTAGTTCTACTCCTGGGTTAATCGATAATTTCTTGTTCGATTAGGAATAATAAGTGTCTGTTATTTTTGGTTTACCCATGGTTCTATTTATATATTTAGGTTAAATATATTTTCTTCAACACATACCATCATATCCATATGTTTATTTACCTTAACATTTCCACTGTATCAACTATTTCATTTTCATCTTTCTTTATAGTTTATACTTCTTACCATTAATTTTGTTTAACTTATAATTTATACTTTTTACCATTAACTTTGTTTGTGAGGGCCTGTGTCCACCTTACCTGCTCCCAATATTGTTCGCCTTCCTCCTATAAAGGTTGAACCCATTTTCAGATTACCTAGATTTTGCCAGTTTTTTTTAAACGGTTCTCTGTATATTTGCCTTCTTGTGACATTGTTCAATGATGATTTTTTTGCCTCTTTTTGAGAGTGGGTACTTGCAAGCCTCACCCTATACAGGCTTTAATTCTTTTTTGCCTTAGCTTACCCTCAAGCAGATTTCTTCCTGATTTATGTCAATTACATCTCTGTTAATCCTATCCATTTTTTCCCCTACCTAGTTTTTTCTTAGCTTTGTTTTATCCTGTTGACACTCCTACAGTTAATTCTTTTTATGCTAGGTACAATATAATCTGGTAAAGGAGAACACGTGAAAAACAGTAGTGATCTTCATGAAGGTGGAAAAATATGATAGAATGTAACCCGAGTGCTAGATTCTTCAGTAGTTATATTTTCAAAAACTGTACAAGTCACAAATAATTTTTTTTTCAACATTTTCCAGTTGAAAAATGGACATTTAAGAAAGCCTGGCTCATCTATTCTTGCTCCAATTCAATATGTCATCAGTCTGGGTATTTTTTATTTTTCATCTGATCTCTCAGTCTGGCTCAGCTGTCTCCCATCTTGCTCAACACTCTAGAATAGGATGCCACACTCTTACTTACCTCTCCTTCTCCCACTGCACAGCTGGTTCTCTTCTGGGAATGTGCGCATCACTCAAATCCTTTGTGCCTTTAGGACGAGAACACAGGCGATCCTTTTATTGGCCTTTAAGTGACCAGGGATCATACACATCTATTTCCTGGTTTCCACAGTTTCCTTAGTCAGGATCATTCTTAGATATCGAGAGGTTAAGTCGGAATGCTACTATAAATTTAGTTCCTGTACTGCCACCTTGTCCAGAGTTTCATTTCTTCATGAATGCCTTGATTCAGGGATGAGGTACATATACCAACAGTCTGGAATTCCAGAGTATGCACAGATAATGAGGATTCCCTACACAGTGTTTTCATACTTCTTGCTCTTCTTAAGGGATAAATTGTCAGGTTTCACTCTGACTATTCAGCGGTAGTGTCTTATGTTTCTTGTAAAGGAGGCATATGGTCTAGGGCTCCTTATTTTTGAATTTAGAACCCCTTTCTCGGGACTAGTCTTATCTTATCACCCTTCTAGCTTGCCATATTCCACAGGTGTTGCCTGTGGTAGCAGGCCCTTTGTCTCAAACCAATCAGATTCTCCCAACAGAATAGATGTTGCATCTCAAGGTTCAGTTGGATTGCATCTCAGTTTGCAACTCTAATTAGTGGGTTGGCCTCTCATTGGATCACCCATCTACTGGCAATCTGGCCTCCAGTACCTCATCTTTGGGCCTTGGCAACAGATGCTTTCCATCTGGATAGGACGAGATTACCACTCTCAACCTTCTCTCCACTTCATATGTTACCCAGGGTATGAAACATTATTTGTCCAATCTATTGTTAGATCCTGTTGAGCATCCCAGATTGGTGGCTACACCCAGGTTTCTGCTCCTGGACTCTCTTCCTGTGTATCCAACTCTTCCACTTCTTTTTAGGCTCTCTATGTAGAGGCAGCCATGATCATATATGGTACACCCAGCTATCCAGAAGCTCAAGCTTCTAGGATAGAGATTATACTGTCTTTCACACAGCATTGGGGTTTAATTTCTAAGGTTGACATATATTTGGCTCAGTTTCTGCTTAGTCCAAAAGTCAATTTTCTCAAAGGTACTGACATGCATATCAGCAATGTTGTATTGAGAGGAGGTTGAACCCTTTTCAATCAATAGTGTCAACAATAACTCGTTTTTTGACAGAGGTTTTTGCATTTTCCAGAATCGCCACTGTTTATGGTGGCCATGTCGACTACCATTCGATTCTTGCAACTACATACTTTTGAGTCTGCTGGAGGGCATCATACAGGCTGGTATATGGACTTCTCCCAATACTCTTCCTTCACATTATTGACACAATCTGGTAGTTTCTCGTTTATCAATCCAATTCTGCACTATCAACCAATTTTCACTGTACTTAATACTGATTGCAATGGGCTCTAGAGAAATGAGGTGTTCCATAAGACCACCTAGTAACTCACCAGGTGGTATTACCATACTGTGCTGGACTGCCACTCATGGAGTATCGTGAGTAAAGCTAAAGGGGATCCTGCCCTTCCTTGCTGATCATTGGATTGAATAACTCAGGATTGGTTTGCTTTTAAACATTTAAGGAACTTGGTTCACCTATTGCTCTGTTTCCAGAGCACTGTTCCTCAGAACTCCCCAATGCGCATTACCCTCCAGATTCTACTAGTGGAGCTAGGGAGACATTACCACACCCAGTTTCCAGTCACTGGGGTGGTTGACAGAGGCTTTTCCCTCCAGAGTGTTAGAGTGAATTCCTCCACTTTTGGAGAAGAGGACGAAGTTGGGGGCTCTCCTACCTGGGTTCGTTGACGTTTTTTTCCAAGATATCGGTAGGAGTGGGCCAGCCTAAGCGGGAGGCTACTTGTAATACTGATTCAGATTTGATGCTCAGCTATCTGATTAGGGTGTGCATGGCCCTTCTTTTTGATCAATATCAGTTCAGTATATTGTTCATAGAAGTAGATCCACTATCCCTTCGTATTTCCAGACGTGGAGTGGTCCCATCCTGGGTCCTTGGTTGAGCATGGTTGTTCCAAGTCCTCCCCATAATTCTTGGGGCAAGTGGAAGACTCCTTGCTCACTCGGTTGGAGATCAAGGATGAATGTTCATAATTCCAGACTGGATGAGTTCTGTTCCTTTGGTTGAGTATGGCATTTATGATCCTGTCATTCCAAGCCCAGGGTGTTACCTTTCACACTTCTTCAGGTGGATGAGAAGGTTTGTCTGCTTTGATGTTGCTTATTTTCTTGTCTTGATTCTGGTGGTTTGGAACTCATCACACTATGACTACAGGTTGGGATCTAATCAAAAGTATATTTATATATAATGTTGCGGTCCAATAGCCCTAGCCACCAATATTGGATAAAGTGACCAAAACCTCATAATTCCAACCCCGAGTAGTGGAACCTCAGCTATCTGGTTGGGGCTGTCCTATAATGATGATTAATCATGTACAATTCCACCCTTGATACAGGACCTAAATTAAGGGTGAATAGCATACCTGTTCTGGATGTAGTGCAGCTCCCCCAATCAGGTACCACTCTTATCTTGGTACACTTATGATCTATGCAGACGTTTTCTGTAAGAATAATGCCCTCACCAGCCCCTCCACCTTCTCAATGTGGGATTCTAGCTATAAATAGGAGTGGAGGTATGGATGTTATGGAAGTTAACATTTTCCTAAATTGAAAATTATTTCCAATAATACTGACCTCTGCTAACACGCTCCTGCCCTTCCTCTCCACTAAGAGCCAGTGTTAGAAACTGGGATGGAGTCAGTCTTGAAAAAAGTGATAAAATTATCTGAAAGAGGTGTTTATATACAGTAACAGGATGGAGGGCTCATTGAGGTAAGTAGAGAGTATCATGAAACATATATCACCAAGGGCAATTGAGTGGGGTATAAAAACTGGAGCAAGCAAAAAAAAATTAGACCATTGCTTAGATGGGCAAAGATGAAACTCTGGCAGTCGAGTAATGGCTATCAGTGTGAGAGGAGGTAAGTATGATTGGAAATACGTTTGAATTTAGGAAAATGTTAACCTATATTTTTTGTAGGTTTTTACACTGCAAACAAATGGTCCTGCAAGATCTTTTTATGAGAGCTTCATTAAAACCTGTGAAAAAAAAATGGATTTTTTTAGTTATATCCAAACTCCTCAATTCTTGCCTGTGACAGGAATATTCAGGCTTAGCTTATAGATAGTTGATAGTTTTTTCTTTTTGTTAGAAAGCTTTTGTAATCTTAAACACTGTATATTTACACAATATTATTAAAAATATTGGAAGTATATCTTGAGAAACGTGAGATGATGTGTATTGCCACTAGAGCTTCACTTGAATAGAGAGGGGAACCACCTTTAGAAATAGTTAGTCTCTATTCTGTTACATGTATTAACAATCAACCATTGGTACATATCTGACGTAATAGGACCACTGATGCCCTGTGCAAGTATGCTCCAAGTATAATGATATTTTATTTTGTACGAAACATTCCAGTATGGTTCAGTTGGACCTTTGGTCTGTCCAAGATCTTTGCTACAATGTATGCGTCTTCCAAGCTTGTGTGAATTAAGGAATGTTTGATCTGATTCTCCACATTTGTATATCCACAATATGTTAGATTAATGGGTAGAAATCTATCATTTACTTAACCAAACTGTACATTGTCCAGTAACCTTTCCTCTTTGAATGCTTATAAGCTTCTTTTTTCATGGCATCTTGAGGATAACTGAATGGCTATAGCAGATGTTAACCTTTATAAATACTTTGTAGTGGTGCACCAGGAAGTCCATATGCAAGTTTGGTTGGGGAAGGCCCGCAGCTACACACACACAAGTGTATTGTACTAATACTCTTGGTAATATGATGTCTATTACACACTTGATACACCTTATATTTTTTGTAGGGTAACAACTACATATTGAAATCACCTCACATGCACATACAGCAAGAATGTTGTGTTCAGAATACTTGAAGATTTTATGTATTACAGATTGTATTAAATAAGTCTGTGAGTTTAAGGGAAAAGCTGTTTTGAGAGCCTCAATGGAATAACTAAATGCTGGAATTTTACACTAAAAAGAGGTATTTCTGTATAATGTTGTTGTTTTTTATTTTACAACGTTATGCCCTAGTTAAAATCTTAATAAAACTTTGTTTAGTAGTTAATAGAAACTTATTTTTTCTTTATGTAGACATTCGTCTTCATTCAAACATGAGAACATGGCATGTTTTACAAGTGAGAAACATGGAAGGTAAGAAGTTCTATTGTTTATGTTAACAGCTAAGTGTAATAGTTATATCAGAACCTGACATGTTTTACAAGTGAGAAACATGGAAGGTAAGAAGTTCTATTGTTTATGTTAACAGCTAAGTGTAATAGTATATATTTAAAGTGTATCTAGCCTCCAGTTTTTTTTTGGTTTTTTCATATTGTAAAACAATTTGATTTTTTTTACAACGATATAATATAAACTTCACAAATTTTTATCTCACATTTCAGTATTATAGATACAGAAAACAGCAAAATCTAATGTAAACAGTGACATCATTTTTAGATCATACATTATGGTATTTATCTTTTGAAGTAATATCTAAAATCATTCCTGAAAAAGTATCACGAGCTTCTGTGATCACATCTATTATATGATACTTGTCTGCTTTAATTAATCACCATTTTTTGTATGATGTATTCAAAATGATGCTATAAAAATAGCCTTCTTGTACATGTATGGTGTTTGATCACTTTTGATTTTTTCATTGTGGTGAATTTGTTTTTATCAAGTTTGTTGATTTCAAAATTTTGAGTGATATTATATAAACACTAAAGAACAGAGCCATAATTTAAGTAACAATTACTCTGTTAGACTGTATCAGTGATTCTGTTATTACAGATATGAACATTGAAATCTTGGAAATAAAGCTTAGAACTGTAGTAAGATGTTGCTGCTATAGACAGTACAAGTCAAATATTTGAACCCAATAAAGAACAAAAAAGCTTATTTTACTAAAACCTTTTAAGAATGTAGACTACTGTTAAAAAACAGTAATAGTGTTGTTTTAACATATTGTTTTGGAATTACAATAAAATTATGTATGTGCTTCATACGTATTATCATGACGTTTAGGGGTTTTTAGATATTATGCAAATAAAATTTCACAGTTTTCAGATGAATAGTATTTTTAATCTCAACAAGAAAAATGACTCTGGACTCCATAGATTCATAGATAAGTTTTTAGTAAAAGTACTTATTTACAAAAGATATTAATCAAAATAATGTTTGAAAAACATGAAATAAATTGACTAAAAAAGTTCTTTTCTTTTTTATATTGACAGTGAAGTTACAAATTACTTGTATTCACAGCTTAGCTCTCTCACTTTGGGCTTGGTCAGTTTGGCTGGGTTTGTGAACTCAAAATGATCTTTAAAGTTTTCTTACTATAACTTCTACTATGTTTTGTGTATCTTCATGAAATGTTGCATACCTTCAGCAAATATTATGTCTTTTGTAGACAAAAAATCTGAATTTTTAATGAAGAGTTTTTGCTCAAAATTTCCCCGTATTGACTGCTCCAAGTACAAAGTTATTTTCATATTAAGATTAAAAATACTTTTCTTGCTCTGAAAATTGTCAATTTTCATTTGTGTAATCTCTAAAACTTCAAGGGTTTGATTCCTCATTGTGGACACAGCAGGTAGACCAATGTGGCTTTGCTACAAAAAAACACATTTATTTCTCTGTTTTTTTGATAGTTCAATAAAGGTCAAATTCTTATATTTTGTTACTGAAAAATGTTATATAATGATTTTAAATCTTTGAACATGTAACTAACAGCATAAATTAAAAACTTTGGAACTATTACTGTTACCATCAGTGTTACAGGTTGACCCTTGAATTTATCTGTTCTTGTGACTGAAGTAGGCATTTACTTTTATTTTTTAGATTATGAAAACATATTTCATAAGCCTTTAAAATTGAGGTATTTAAGCCTACTAGTAGTTGCGTATGGTGTTTCTCACACCTCCAAATTCATACTCATGATCCAGTCATGAATGCCTTTCCCGTTTCATAGATTGTACCATATTTCCCCAGTACCGCAGTGACCGGACAGTGCAACACAAGATGGTCTGTGTCTTGTGGGGATTCCTGACATGCTGGGCATATAGGGGATTCACGATAACCCCATTGATGCAGGTTGGCCGCTGTTCTGCCATGGTCCTGACCTCAGCCTGTTTGCCTGTGTCCATTGCTTTATGGTTAGGTGATAGAAACTGGGCAGTGGCTCAGTGGGGTCCCCCACCAGGTCTCCACCCCTGGGAGGGCACTCCCTCCATTCCTCTCTCCAAACTTCCTTAATGTTGAAGTTTTCTTTCCTTGATTTATAGAAAGGTTTTCTTGATTGTAGTCTTGAAGTGGTGCATGCTCTGTCAATTATTTGCTTCAAGGGTGTGTCAGTATTTGTGTTTCTAATGCGTTGGTGCTGCTTTTGAGTGGCCTCCTCTCTGTTGGCAGCCAAGTCGATGGTGTAGATTTGATGGCACCGGATATAATTTGCATTGTTTCATTCAGCTTTTCTTGTGTGGGCACTGCATTTTCACACTGGGGCACAATACTCGGCTATGCTGTAGCATAGGGCCAGTGCAGATGTTCTTAACACAATTTGATATTCTCCCCATGATGATCTGGCTAGCTTCCTGATCAGTGAGTTCCTCTTCTGTAATTTTTGTGCAGTATTTTCTAGGTGTTGTCTGTATGTTAAGGTTCTGTCAAGCACTACTCTGAGATATTTAGGGTGTTTCTCTGGTGGGAGTAGTTCATTATTGAGCTGTATTTGCAGGTTTTGATTTGCTTGATGGTTATTGAGGTGAAATATTGTCGTCACTGTTTTTGTGGTGTTCATTTTCAGGTACCAATTATAGAAGAAGGTCTGAATAGCTTGAGTGTCTGCTAAGTATGGTATCCAATTCATGTTGTTGGATTGGTAAGCAATGGCTAAGTCGTCTGCATATCCAAACTTAAGGGATCTTGTTGCAGGCATGTCACTAATATAAATGTTGAACAAGGTTGGTGCCAGGACCAATCCTTGAGGGGCTCCATTTTATATTTTCCTGCTCTTACTGATGTCTTTCCCCAGACATACGTGAAAAGTTCTTATTCCTGTCATTTTGTTTAAAGGCTTAAAGGTTTTTCTTGCAATTGATGACTTTGGCAAGTTTCAGCATTAGCCCCTTGTGCCAAATGGTGTCATTTAAACCTACCATAGAGGATTTTATCATTATGATTATTTCTAAACAGTAACATGGGAAAAGGCCTAAGTCAGGATAATCTTCATAAAATTTTGAATAATAAAGATTAAATGTATGCTGATATATAATTACGATATGATATCTTACCTCCTCTCACATAATAGTTTTTCTCAAGTTGTGCCGCCCTCTATATGCACAATTTTTGTTCACCTCTATCCTTGATACTCCCACCTACTCTCATGTAGCTTCTTGTAGCTTTTCTCAAGTTGTGCTGCTCTCGATATGCACAATTTTTGCTCACCTCTAGCCTGATACTCCCACCTACTCTCATGTAGCTTCTTGTGGTATAGCTGTGCTGTAGCTTTCAAACATGCAACAACCGTCCACCAATAGGAGTGTGACACACCATCCTAATGCAGCTGACACCCTCTTTCCTGTAAAGCAATACCATCACTTCTTGTTTTAACATTCCAGTGTGCAGTTGTGCACAATTTTTGCTCTGTACTTACAATATTCATGTTCACTTTTAGTTAATTTTAATGTTTTGACAACTCTTAGTTTGCATTTATTTGCTGCTTATTTACTATTTGTAGAATATTTTTCTTTTTCATTACTAGATGATGTTACTACAATGCCTTCTGTTATGGATCCGGACACTACTGATCTACCACCACTTACTACTTCTGTAGCTTCGGCCTCTACACTTTTTGTGGAGAAGGCTTTGAATATGGTGTGTTGTGAGTTGTAAACTATATTGTGGCCTGTTACATCTCTGGAACCTCAGCAGGATATCCTGTTTCTGGGGAAATCTGATCCTGGTAAAGAGGATTTGGCCAACCTTTTACTACCTCCAGCCTTTGCTGCCCTGTCCCATGCTACCCCTTTGGAGTTCCCTTGTCCTTCTTCAGCTTTTTTTGGACATGATTTCCCAGGTATGTTACTTATTACCTCTCTTCCATCCATCTCCTTTCCAAGGCTATCCACCATTTCCCTGAGGTACATATACTCTTTTCTTTTCCATGTTGGTGCGTTTATCTGCCTCAGTCTTATCCCTTCATGCATGACTCCTTTCTTGTTGAAATCTCTTTGGCAGGAATGCCCTCTCGTTTCATGAGGGTCTACCTGTTCTATTTGCAAGACCTCCATCTTGCCCATTTTTTTTCGACTGTCTATTTCTGATAATTGGGAGTCATGAATGGAGGCTATTTCTCGTCTTTCCCAAACCTCTTATACTCCTATTCCCATGTTTTGCCCCCCCTGCATTCTCTCCACTACAAGTGTCACCTTCCTGGTTCCTGGGGTGTGTCACCAAATTGACCATCATCGTGTTTACCCACCTCAGTTTTGTCAGTGACTATCATTTAGGATCTGGCATTGTGTGGCATGATTAGCCAGGTTTCTTCACCAGTGGTGCCTGTTCCCTGCGGACCCTTGGTTTCTTCAGGTTCTAACAGAAGGGATATTTCTTTAATAGCTGCACCCTTTATCTTTACGACACATTTTCTTCTCCCTTCCTTGTGATCCCATTTCATGCTAGCATCTCTTGGAGGTGTTTCACAATCTCTTGCACAAGGACACTATTGAAAAAATATTTCACACTTCTCCAGGGTTTAATTTCCAATTGTTCATGGTTCCCAAGAAAACCCAGTGATTGGCATCCTGTCATTGATCTCTTCAGTCTCAACTGCTTCATAATCTTTCCTGCTGTTCACCATGAAGTCTTTCCTAACCTTTTGTTGATAGTTCACTCCAGGCCTTTGGATGACCAAGATTGATGTATCAGATGCTTACCTTCTTATCCCTACCTCTCTTGCATTAAGACATTACCTTTGGTTTGTTCACAAGGGTCAAACATTTCAGTTCTTTGTGGTCTGACATTGGCACCATATGTCTTCTGTTGTGTGGTCAGTCTTTGCCCACCTTCTTCACACACAGGGTTTGTAGTTCCATCATTATATGTATGACTGTCTCCTTTTAGCTCTGACCCAACAATCCTCTCACTAACTTATCCATTTCCTCCTCTAGGAGGTGGCTCTATGTGGGATGGCTTGTTAAGCTGGAGAAGTCCTATCTTACCCCCATGCAGTATTGTATCCATTTTGGGGGTATTTTGCAACACCTACCTTAGCAGGGCCCAGCCTTCTCCTTTTCATCTGAAGTCAATGAAACTCTTGGTTTCCAAAGCCAGGTCCTTTCCTTCTCTACCTGCTTGCGAGGTTCTATCTTTTTGTGGGACCTGGGCTTGCATGGATGCCCTCATAGACTGGGGTTGTGCACACATGCCTTGTCTTCATTGGGTGCTGCAGGATCAATGGAACCTTGTTTGAGATCCCTTGTTTAAGAACCAACCCCTTTCCCTAGGAGTTGACTTTACCTAGTGGCCCACCAGAGACAACACCTAGGCTGACATTCCTCTGCCTCCTTTCCATCCCAATTTGTACCTTTTTACAGATGCTTCTCTTACAGGGTGGGGAGCATATCTGGATTCTCAGAAGATCTCAGGTTTTTGGACAGTAGCTGAATCTTCCCTCCACATTAACTTTTTGGAACTTCTTGCAGTTCATCAAGCCTTGGATTATTTCCTATCTTTTGTAAGGGGCCATTTGGTCATGATCCATTCCAACAATTTGACCATTGACCCTTACATCAATTGACAAAGGGGCACCTGTTTGTTTTGCTTTCAGATGTTGGATCTCATTTTCTGGGCCCAGTCTCAGCAAGTTTGTCTTCTTGTTTGTCACATCCCAGCTGCTCTGAATCCCTTGGTGGATAGGTTATGGCATCCTGAGAAGATTCTACCTATGGAGTGGTCTCTTGCTCCTCAAGTGTTTTCATGGTTATGCACCCTGTTTGCTACTTCTCTTCTGGATGCATTCACTACCAATCTCAATACTAAACTGCCTCTCTTCTGGTCTCCAGTTCCATATCCTTTGGCTTTGAAGGTGGATGCCTTCAGTCATGATTGGACTAATTTTTACCTTTATTCTTATCCTCCTATCTATTTTCTTCCTCATGTCCTCTCTCTTATCAAAGCCAATCCTTTTAAATCCTTGAAATCCATGAAGTATGAAAAAGATACAGTGTATGTAAATTTTGCTGTTAATGAGGACTAAGTTAATCTGTTTGCATATCTAAATCAATAAGTGACGCAGAAGATATAGAAATGTCTTCCTGCAAATGTGAACATTCAGCTTCATCAGCTACATCTTCAGGAAATGTACTATCACTATCAATCAATACCCTCATTAAGCTGGAGTTAACGAAAAGAATGCCTTTATCTTGGAAATGGTGACATGAAATCTATCTCGCCAATTTCCTAGAAGGACTGAATTCATCAAAATTTGATGAGCTTTATCAACGAACTCTTTCCAACTTTTGTTTCTTTTTCCCATTTCGTATGACTCAATTAACTTTTCCACACACTCCCTGGGCATTTCATCTTTTGTATTCTCTGGATAGTATGCCAACTTTTCTGACAATGCTTCTGAACAAAGTGTAGTAGTTTCACCTCCTACACTGCTTGTATTTGCTTCAGGAGGATTACAGTGGATCAGAGACAGTGCTTGGCTAATAGCTAGTGATTTAGCAGTAATTCCGACTTGATCTTGTTCATTCAACTAAGAACTTGTAAGTCGATCAGGTGTATATAATGGTGCCTTGAGGGGATGTAAATGACAACCTTGTTTCAATATTCAGTTCATTTCCTTCATACATATTACGCTTGGGTGCTACAACAACATTTGCCTTGGATATATTGAATGAGCAAATGATTTTAGCAGCATTAACCTCCCATTGAACCTCGTGTGCTTCGGGTTCTGGCTTTGGCTTTGAACTTTGGACCCTTTCAACAGATTGGCATCAAGTACTTTTCCAGTAGTTCCTGCGATCTCATCTCTAAATGCGAAGGCCTTGTATATGTTCGTTTCCGTCTTCCACAAATGAGTTGAACACCAAATTCATGTATGAAAAGTGGATATCCAGTCTCCCTCTACTAGTTAGAGCCTCCGTATAAACCCACTTTTCGACATGGAGAATGTGCCCACCAGTGGAAAACTGTATTCCCACATTGAGATGATATATATATATGGGATCAGAATCTGTGAGCCAAAGCACGTAGCATTGTCACTTTCAAGAATTACTCTACGGATATCAAGACTATTGGTTTGAACAACCTGTACATCTTTTTCAGTATAGTGGAACTTGTACATTATCTTGTCTTGTGTATCCTTCCACCACATAATCAATGAATTTGTACTGAAATCCAGGAACACCTTCATCGCCACACACCCATCTCACCATAATTTCACCAAGCAATGACATACCCTTTTTGCCAAAGTACTCCACTTGACCTTCCATGTACTTCATGGATAACACCTTCTGCTTATGGTCAAGCACAATAAGCATCATTGATGAATCAATCTTCATTTCTTCTTTAACTTTGTTGATCACATCAAATTGAATGTTTGCTTTAAGCTTATGGGCCATGTACCATAATGTCATATCTTATAAAATCGGATGGATGCTAACATTAATTCTACTTCTTTTGTTGTATCAAGATCATCCACTGGTAATGAGGCAGTCTGCACCAAGATTGCCCTAACCGAAGTGTCGAAGAAATTGACACATTTGCTACACTTAATGCAATAGCTGTGGTTGTGATCATTATCACATTATCCACCTAGTGCAAAGGTACAGCAATGGGTCTGATCGTCAGACCATAAACTCAAATGCTTGTGTGTGTACTCATATGTCAGAAATTACATTCTTTTTTTCCATCTCTGTAAGATTTTCTTGATGCTTGCTTGAATATCATTTGCCACAATTTCTTCAGGATACTTCATGTTGCTTAATCTTGCCATCATGGACTCGAATACTAAACTGATACATCTTAATCGAATATAGTAGATTGACAAACCAGCATTTGTTTCATCTCTTTTTGTCAGTAGCTTAACGATATCATGAAATGTATGCACCTGAACCTGTTCATGGCTATTAAAGGAGTTCTTATACACTTTGTAAAGGTCTTCAATACTCTGTCCGCCATATTCATAAACCGGCATATCTGAAAATACATAGTTGTCAATCTTTACATTCCTTGTTTGACCGGGCTTTACTTGAAGGATTTGTTGAATGACTGTAATTGCTGTTACAATCCTCTGGCTGTCCAGATGGATAGTATAATTGTGTTTTAGCAGATCTGTTCCACACTCCATAATAGCAAATGCCTTTCTCAAGGATGAAAACTTCACTTTTCCCATTGAGTACTTCTGAACAGGTATAAGCTGTTTTTATTGATTTGGTAGGCTAATGAATTCGTCAGTGAGCATCCTTTTGCATGTATGTCATTCGAGTGAATTTGCTAAAATGCTTTGAGCAACCATGGAAATGTTTCTGCACCCAACAAGCGATAGCTTGCACAAGCTTTTGGAAATGGATTCCGTCGTATATTTCCCATTAGGCTGTAGTTTGTTGATAAAATACATCTTCAATTAAAATGAATCGGTTGGATACAAAAGTTGAATAACTTATCAGTTATTTGTGTGCATATTTGAATAGCCTTCTGTCTTTGTCTGACACTTTACTTTGTATAAGTAAACATTCCAAAGCTGTGCAATTGGTAATACCCAAGGCATTGAATATAGCAGTAATGGTTTTAGAGGCTTCAGCATTTCCATCTTCTCCAGATTCAATATCATACACATTACTTTCTTCTAATTTAATTCAATTTTGACCTCTCAGGGCACTTGTCCTCCTCATCACTCTTCTTTCTCCACTTTCAGCATCATTTTTCATTTCCAATTAATATGACTTTCTTTATTCGAGCATGAATCCAAAGGTAAGTAGCATCTACAAACAGCACAGGCTAGGCAGTCTCCTTTCTTTCTATGTTTATGTTCCTGGCAAGGCATTTTAAAGATTTCTCTTATTAGTATATTTTTTTCAATCAGAAGAAGAAGCTTTTTTATATTGGATTACGGTGACGTAGTCTAGCGCTTCCAATCCATTTTTTCGGCTCTGACTTTTTCTTCCTAAATTTTGGGTCAGTTTTTCGTGTCCGGGGGTCTTAATAATTCAGGATCTGACATATTTCAACAACCCCGTGCTAGAGGCTGCCAGTGTTTGTCAGGTTTTTCCATTAAAAATAGTTTTAGTTTTTCTGTACACTTTTTTTTTATTGTACCTTAGTTTAATATACGTTAAATCCTAGAAGGCCAGTTCATATACCTTGGTTTCTAAGAGTACATTATAGTGATGATTTAACTACCATGTAAACCTCATTAAGCGCTTGTTGTTTTAATCTAGTATCTGTTTATTGTTTCATTCCATTAGAACAGCAAGAAAATGTTACTCCAGAGTATTTTCAGAAGTTGCTAAGTGATTACTTGAACAGAAGTAAATATGAAGTTGTAAGTTATAATCATTTATCTGATAACATGTTTATATTTAATTTTAAAAATCAGGTTGCTATTGTCTGGTATTGTGTTTTTAATATACCATTTTAAGACATTGGTTTAATTTGAGTGCTATTAGTGTAAATGATAAAAATAGACAAATGTGTTGAAAGATATTGATCCATGTCATGTAGATCATTACTTGAAGTTTTTCAAAATTCTATTTCTTTTTCAAGCACTGAAGTATCTGCTTGATGTTTAGTTATTTAAACCTTCCAATACTGCCATGAGAATGTCTAATATTGGTGATGTTTTACTCATTCAAGAGACTAAACTCTCAGACATTGATAATTTGTATTAAAATGAAAATATTTTCACATTGGTAACTGCAACTGTTTCTGAGGGATGGAAACCTTCAATAACAGTATGGCTATATGTTTTAAATATAATTTAGGAAATTCAAACTATACTTGTACAATAAATATGCTAACAATAGAATTGTGTGTTTGTGTGGTATGCAAGCATACCATGTGTTTTCTACCTTTTTATTTTAACGTAGAATTTTTAAAAAAAATGTCATTTACTCTAAGTCTGTCAGTTTTACCATAATGTGTCCAGTAAAAACATCAACTTCAATCTATTAGCTTTTTCTTCCTTTGTTGTTCTGTAGAGATAATGTCTGTTACACTCTTAGTGAGTATTGCTGTAACACTGCATGTTGTGCAAGAATGTAGATGACTGGTAGGACATATGACATTACAAGGTTTTGGCCTCATCTATGTCCAGTTAGAACAACTAGTCATGTTGATAGAACTAGTCACTATGGGTAAATCCAACATTTCCCAATAAGTAAGGAACATTTGGTTTAAATAGTATGGGATCTCAAATGATTTGATTTATAGAAAGAGATCTTGAGGGAAGAAAATTTGTTTATCAATTCATGAGTCAGTAGAAGGCAACCACCCTGTTTCCAAACATAAGTGTGAATACTATTTTTTATTTTTGAATAAATAAAGATCACTTTGTAATTTATCATGCCAATCCTCCTCCATTTTAAAAATAACATCTAATATATTATTCTGGGGAAAATTGTTTCATATATGGTATTCTAAGTTAAACCGATTTCCTGAAAGAGTGCTAGGTAGGCCAACTTGAAAACCTAACTGGTTTGATAAATTTTGTGTCTGTATGTGTATGAAACTATATAGTGATTTATTTTATATATATTTATTCTATATAAATGCATACTGACAATAATGTTCATAATATACAGTATAATCATCTATAAAACAGAATTTTTCACTTTTTTCCACAGAATGTTACTTGTCAACTGTATGAAGAAGGATTGTGGACCCGCATTTCTTTCACAGAACCTGTTCGTAAAAGATCTCAGATGGTGGTGTTCAAAGAAAGCACTTCTTTTCTTCTCTACTACCCATGGACACCTTATGTTTTGTATTGTGATCTGAAAGTTGCCCATCAAGAACTTGTACAGAGGGTGAGTGATATCTATTTTTAAATACATTTAACATGTTTTTACAGGTTGTTCAGGGGTTGATGCAAGTTTCTTATTTGTTTTCATACACTACGTGAGGTGGAAATGTATATATAGTAAAACATATAGAAAATTTGCAGATAAGACTAGCTTTCTTTGAATGCTAAAGTAATAGTATTACTTGTTTGGTAATTAAAATTGATCTTTTACTTCTCCTTATGTAGTTTGATAATATAATTAATTCCAGTTTGCAGACTATTAGGTTAATACTTAGTCTAGTAATATACAATATTTCATTTGGATTATAAACATTTAAACCAGTTGTATCACTAACTACTTCTAATAGCTGCTAAAAGATAAAAGCTAAGGCATGATATTCTCAACAATGTCAAACCAGTTTACCATTGATTGAAAATTAGAAAAATGTAGTATTGGTATATAGGTTTTTCTCAACTAAATAACTCCCTTGTGAAAGATGTTATCATAATGGCAAAGGCTCAGAAATAGTTTTTGTAATCATATATATATATATATATTAATATTAAACATTTAACCCTGTCTCAACCAGAGAGTACCTTATAGGCGTCAAGTGCACACTTGCATATCAAATTTAAAAATTTATGCAAAAATAGTAAAGAAAACTATTTCAACAAATTTCAAGTCAAACATATTTTAGAATTGAAATTTTATCTTGTAACATTTATTTAGTGTAAATTGCAAATAAATATTAAAAAATGTTTGACTTGCATATCTCCACAGCTATGAAGAGTCTTGCCTGTAAACAATGTACTTAAAGGTTTAATTAGAATACGGTCATTTATATTTACTAAGAAACTATCATCCCTTGAGAATATCCTTGCCCTGTGATTTTATTTTTCTGTTTGGGTTAGAGTTGGGAAATTAGTGGAATCTGAAAACAGATTAATCATCAAGCTTGTTAATTGATTACATTTGTCTAATCAGCTATTCTAGCATTACATTAATCTTCCCATTTTAAGCTAGTTTTTCAAACTACAATTTTAGTTTGATAGACTTTATCTGATGGTCACCATTTATGCATTTTATGAAAAACTATTTTGGGGGCTGAAAAAAATTATTTTGTCAAAACACTTTTTACACAGTTTTTCTTAAGATAATGTGAACATTTCCTATTTCACATGTTCACAACCATTGCAACTCAACAAAACAAGTATATCTGTTAAAATCATTGTAATTTTATTATTTCAAACAAAGAACTACATACCAACAAAGGTTTAATTAGGTTTAGTAAGTATGGTAGATGACAGCCAACTATTCTGATGATTCAAATCCTTATTTATTGAATATTATTGTTAACATTATTATTAACAATATTATTTTTTCAAACAATGAAAATAAGTACAATAACTTATTATTTATTGAAAAGAAACTATATTAGATATAAATTGATTGTGACTAAGAATATTGTTACCCAGCCTGAGGAAGGTAATGGTGACTCAGTTTTTGACATGTATTTTTAAAATCTATAGCCAGAAGTGGTGACCACCGTAATCAGCAAAGTAAATTATTTAGTGAAAATCAAGTGTGAACTGACTGAATACATGAAATGGTATTCACAATAAAATTAATTAAAATTCTAAGATGAAAGGAATTACATTGGAAAATTCACAATGTATTAGAAAAAATAATTAAAAAGTTACTCAAGTTAAGGGCCAAAATAACCATTGACCTAGAGTGGAGTGGTTATAAAGACATTTATTATGGAACCATAGGCACTTCAACAAATTGTACTGAATGTGTTCTACATGCTGCCCTTGTAATTAGAAACAAGTTTGGAAATGGTATTTCCATTCTCTTTAAGCAATGCAAAGCATATTCATGTCATTGTCAATGGTCCATACTTCCAGTTCCCTTAGATTCAGCTAGCAACTTGCCAGCAGCACTCTCTGGATGGTGTGCATTAAATTCAGTGGCAACCTTCTGCTAGGATAAACCTACTCTGCCACACACAGCAAGGTTAACTCTACCTTCTCGAGCTTTAATAGTGCCATAATCACTCACATATCTGAAATTTAGAAAAGCTGCAAATCACCTATGGTTCCAGATTTTTTAGACAGCCTGTAGTTTGCCTATTACTCCTAATTAAAATTATCTCTTATTACTTATAATTATTTTTGTAGAATTTGAGCAGCTCTTATTACTAATGATTGTTTCTAAGTTACATGTAAATCGATTAAGTATTTTTACTGCAAGAAGGAAAAAGATATCATTGATTCCCCACTGGTCTAAAAGGGGTTAAATAAGAACTGCCTTACACTTTGAGTAATTCTGCTGTTCAGTTGTTATTAGCCATATGTGGACTGGACACAATGCTCAAATGCACATACAATTTATTTATATTAGTCACACACTAAACAATAAAGAAAAAAGTTTGCACTATATAATGGGCATGTAGTGTTTAGTTCACTGGTACTAACATGCATGATACATAAACACATGAAGTGTTTTGTGTTCCCACACCAGTATTAAACACACTAGTAAACTATGCCAGTACTATAGACTGAAGAACTGGACATATAATGTTGTTCCATGACGAGGAACCCACTTTGAGACTAATAATGATTGGAGACGGCTTGAATGTGTTATGAAGAAAAACTTTAATATAAGTTTAACATAACAGCAAATGTACAACGTTTCGACAAGGTTTTGTCATCATCAGGTACAAGTAGTTAACACTGACACAGATATATATATATATATACAGTATGGAACAAAGAGGTCACACGACTTAGAAGAGATATCTTGGCACCCCAAGGTGTTGGTTTAGAGTAGGGTTGTTTTGTTCAATTAAGATGGATTCCTTGATTTTTCGTTTGTTTACGTTGGGTTCTTTGTTTAAAATGACTGTGTTTTAAATAGATATAATATGGTATTTTGAGTTACAATGGTGAAAAACGTGGGATGGTTTTTTATTGTGTTCTGTCAATCTGGTTTCCAATTTTCTTCCTGTTTCTCCAATGTAGAATTCTGGGCAGTTATTGCATGTTATTTTGTAAATGACATTGGTATTGTGTGATTCTAAATAATTTTTGTTTAGTAACAATTTTAATTTAGGGCTGGGTTTTTGTGTGAATTTGACATTGACAGGAATATTGTGTTTAAGGGCTAGTTTTGTCCAAGTAGTTTATGAGAGATTCTAGGCATCAAATTGATTGGAAATCAACAAGAATTCTATAAAAAATGGATAACTACATAAAAAATAAGAATCTTTGAAATTTGCTTAATCAAAAGCCTGCCTAATTTTAACACCTCCCAAGGTCACTTTAAACTTAGCAACTTCCTGACCTCCTGTGTCCTTAAGGGAATTCCAAGGTCAGGGGTTATGTAGATGTTTGTTGATCAGTTTTTTCCTGCCAGAAGACAATGTGAGACTGAAGAGGACATACGAATGTCTCGAAACAAGTTTCTCTGATACTAGACTTCTGACAGTTTGTTCCGTTTCACTACTTACCATTTAATTTTTTAGTTTAAAAACTTTGATGTTTTTATATGATCACAGATATGATGACATATGAAATTTGTCTTTATTTTTCACCTTCAAAAATTAAATATTTTGTAAAACAATTTGCTTTCTGTATTTGTATTTTTTATAGATGTTGCGATTTCATTATTTATGTGCAATTTCTCTGACCCACTAAGCTAGGAAAGGGTTTAACAAATTAAAATCAGATTATAAAAACTTGCTGAAACTTGCTTTGCTGTGTTTCGTATATTGTGCAGTGGATTTATTTATGTGATTAATAAGGGTTTGATAGAAGTATCCAAACTATTACTTTGTTTTTTGATACAAATTTGGATAATTTTTTATCAGGCAATTCTTCAGACACTTCGAGGTACCAAAGTGAAAAAACTTCCTTTGACGGGACATAAAATAAGTGCATTGATTCAGCTTGCTTGGCAGAAAGACAACTGTCGATTTGAAGAAAATGAAGGACTTCCTTATGTTATTAAAAAGGAACTGAAGAAACGTAAACGTATGTCTACCACATTTATTATATAGATAAAGTTGTAATATGAATAGGAATGCCAGGACTACTACAAGTAACAAAGCATGTAGAGCAAACTGCTTATTGCATTATACAAATTATTAACTTTATGAAATTGAAACACAAATAAATAATAATTCTAAGATTAAACTCTGCATTTAATTTTTTTCTAGACCAAGCTTTGTATAAAGAAATATGAATCTTGTAGTTTAAGCTAATTTATCAAAAAACATTTGAAAAGTTTCTCATTTCCAATGATGATGGTATTATTGTTATTATAATTTTTTGTAACCCTCTCACCCCGGGTATCCTTTACTGCACATGACACGAGATTTTAGCGTCTTACATTCAAATTTTTATCAAATTACTTTTTGTTTATGTCATACCAATTAATATAGCATAAGGGGGGGGGATGAGGTCAGTCAAATTGACCAACCTTGTATAGAGTTAGGATAGAGAAAATACAGATAAAATATAAAGTTTTACTGAAAACAAACATTTGAAATGTGTTTAGGAGGTTTTAAAGATCACACAAATGAAACTTGGGATTTTTGATATGAAGAAAAATTAATTTTAAGATGAAAATCACTTTGCACAATCATAGTTCAAAATAAATACTTGATATATTCTAGGACAGATCTTTGTTTGGTTTATTATAAATACTTCACTGAAAATATTATTTTTTGTATGTGAAAGGCTTATAATGTTTACTGAAAGACTGCCAAATTTCGTGAAGATATACACACAATATTAAAAGTTAGTAGTATCAAAGCTATAAAGGCTTTATAAGAGTACAAAAAAAAAGATCACATAATTGGTCAAATTCACTGAGCTCATGTGGAGAGAGTTAATTGATAATGCAAAAACCAGGTTCATTTTAAAGTTTGTATTACTTAGTGTTAACTTCTGATCAGAACAAGCAACCTGCTTAACACTTTCTCTATTGGCATTTTTTTTCTGCACATCATGAAGGTGTAGTGAGTTACATTCAAAATTTAGTTAAACTACTTTCTTGTCATGGTATATGAATAAGTTTGGCATAAAAATGTAGCTAATAACCCAAATTTTAACAGTATATAAGTTTTATAAGGCAATATTTAAAACAAAAATCCTGAATCTTCCATAGTAGAAGAATTGTGACATTTTTTCTCTAGGCATCCCCTCTTCTCTAATTTATTTACCATCCCTTCAAGAGATATCAAATTTGATGTAAATTACTCATTATAATATTGTCATTGCTCAAGCAAAGCATAATTTTCATAGCCTTCAACCTTATTTGATTACAGAGCCAACAAATAAAAATAATCAAACCCCTGTTGTCACATCCATCTGTTACATACTCTATTTCAGAAATTACCAATGCCAATTTTAATACTATATTATTTATAACGAATAGAAATCCATGGTATTCATCTATCAAATGAAATATTATATTGCATTGTTTTCTGTACAGAAAATTGTCAATTTCGCTTTTGGCTCAACCTTTATTCCCAGGGGGAACACATTGATGAGCTTAGAGGAACTTTTAACAGTTCTTGTCACATAGTCAGAAAGCCAGAAAAATTGTGATAGTTATGTGACATTGTCTGCTTTTTGCATGTTATTATTCTGTGTTTTTCAATACATACATAACTCTGCCCCCACTTAAAGCTATTGTGTGATCTCCAGGGTTTCTTCTTTGCCCATCTAAGCATTGGTCTGACTTTTTTTCTCACTTGCTCTAGTCTTTTACACCCCACTTAATTACCCTTGGCGATATTTGCCTCCTAGTATTCTCCACCTATGTTAATGCACCCTCTATCCTGGTACTGTGTATAAGCATCTCATTCACATAATGTTATAACTTTTTCCCAACAAAGTGTTTAGACATGGGCTTCTTTAAAGAAGTGCTGTGATTAACAATTGTTAATGTCATTAGTTGAGATTTTGTCATTGCCTAATTGATTTCCATACAATTATATTTTACTAAATCTAAAAAAAAAAAACTTGTTTTCATCACACTGTCTCCAAGAATGAATTCCCGGGTTACTGTCTCAAGCATGGAGGATCATCAGACCTCCCCTATTCCACTTCTGTTACCTAGAGTCTCTCAACAATTGGGGGGGCACTCTCATTTGAAATGGAGGCATATATTCGGTTTGGCGGTGTATCTCTGGGAGGTTCTGAGGCTGCTTTTGCTGATGATCCAGGACATTCTGGACAGAGTTTGGACTCTCTTTTTCTGGCACCTTTGTTTACTAGGTCTGCTTCTCACGAGGCCAATTTGTACCAGCCACTTTTTGCTCCCTTTCTTCAGTTATTTAGTTGGATTTGTGAGGTTTTAAGGCTTTTCCCAGTTGACTTTGAGTTTACTCCTTCCCTGATGGCAGAAAGGTCTGAGGGTGACTGCCTAGTTATTCCTCTTTCACCTGATATTGCTGTTTTAGATTGCCAAAGACTGCATCCTCTTTTGGACATGTGGGGTTCCAGACTGGAGTCTGTGATCACTTTGAACAGATCACAGTTTTTTCGGATTCATTTGACCCTCACTACTGTTCTGAGATATTTATTTTCCCTCCAAATTTTGTCAGAAGCCTCTCAGCCTTCCCTACATCAATTTGATGATGAATTGGATCCTTTGCTGACTTCTACATTGGTAAGATTGTCAGCTTCTGCCCTTTCTTTGGTTTCCTGTCTTGTATGTTGTTGGGACTTATTGGGTAGAGATGACTTGTGGGAGGGAGTTTGTCTACCTGTTACCACCCTCCGAGGCTACTTTTCTTTGGAGACTACCCTATGCCAGTGGGGTTACATCTGGAATTCTTTCGCCACAGATCCATGGGTTTTCCAGGTTCTGGCATCAGGGTTGGTCATTCAGTTCACATCTCCACCTCCATTATCCTCCCAACCTATGGCGTTTCCACCTCCAACAGATCCACATCATGTGGATTTTTGTTCCAGGGCTATCAGAAAGTTGTTGGTCAAGGAATCAGTAGAGAGAGTCATTCCTGTGCTTCCGGGATTTTATTCCCATTTATTTGTTGTGCCCAAAAAGACAGGAGATTGGTATTCAATCATTGATCTAACCAATTCTTAGACCTCCTAAGTTCACGATGGAGACCTTTCTCAACCGCCGTTGGTATTTTTCACCATGTCTATGGATGACCAAGTTCGATGTTGCTGATACATATCTCCACATTCCCAAAGTGAAGTCATCCCGCTGCTTTTCATCCAGAGTGTTAGAGTGAATTCCTCCACTCTTGGAGAAGAGGGTGTACTTGGAGACCCTCCCACCCAGGTCCCTCGATGTTTTTCCCAGATGTCAGTAGGAGCAGCACCAGCCTACTTATAATACCAGTTCAGGTTTGATGCTCAGGTATCCGGTTGGGGTGTACATGGCCATTCTTTGTGATCAATTTTGGTTCAATACATTGTTCATGGAGGGGGTTCCACTAACTCATATTTCCCGAATGCAGAGTGGTCACATCCTGCATACTTGGTTGAGCACAGTTGTTCCATGTCATCCCCACTTGGTTGGGAAGTGAGGATGAATGTTCTTAATTCCAGACCGGATGAGTTCTGTTCCTTTGGTTGAGTAAGACATACATGATCCCATATTCTGAGCCTGGGGTGTTGTTGTTTGGGCCTCTTCAGATTTGCTTACTTTCTCATTATGATTCCGGTGGTTCAGAATGCATTACTCTATGACTACAGGCTGGGATTCAATCACTAGTATATATATATTTATGTAATGTTGCAGTCCAATTGCCCTAGTCACCAATGTGAGATATAGGGACTAAGACTCCTTAATTCCAACCCCAAGTACTGGAACCTCGGCCATCTGGTTGGGACCTGGCATTCAGTGACATTCACTTGTATAACATTCCACCCACGATACAGGAATTAAGTTCCAGGTCAAGAGCATACCTGTTCTGAATGTAGTGCAGTTCTCCCACTAGGGTGCCAATCTTTTATTGTCACACCCATGATCTATGCAGATGCTTTCTGTATGGATAATACCCTCACTGGCCCATCCACCTTCTCAGTGTAGGATTCTAGCTATAAGTGGAAGGGAGGTATGTATGTATTGAAAGATAACATTTTCCTAAATTGATAATGTATTTCCAATAATACCTCCATTCACACTCTCCAGCCCTTCCTCCCCAGTAAGAGCTGATGTTAGAGACTGGGATGGAGACAGTCTTGAAAAAGTCTGAATGAAGTGCTTATGTACAGAACCAGGATAGAGGGCACATTGATGTAGCTGGAGAGTATCATGAGGTAAATATTGCCAAGGGCAATTAAGTGGAGCATAAAAGACTGTAGCAAGGGAGAAAAAATCAGACCAGTGCTTAGATGCTCAAAGAAGAAACCCTGGAGGTAGAGCAAAAGCTATAAGTGTGAGAAGAGATAAGTATTATTGGAAATACGTTATCAATTAGGAAAATGTTAACCTTTGGTGCATTATTTAATTAAATAAATTATTTAGTGCAGTAGTACTATTAGCATAAAAAAAAAAGTAGGGTTAAGTGTCATCAACAGTTGAAGGCATAACAAAAGAAGACCCAGGTAGTTTATTTCTTGTTTTTAATGTGTATTCTTTATTTATTATTATAAAAGTAACTAAAATGTAAAAATTAGAAACTTTTTAGGTTAGATAAGGTGAAATAAAGAATTAAAAATAATTTTCACAAGGTACACAACTTATATGGTGTGAATATTATTTAGACAGGGATCAAAGTGCAATAAAACAATAAAATGCCTGGAATAATATTTCACTGTGTCATTTTCAAAAAACTGCTTTTCCTTGATTTTATGGACATCTTGTACACTAAAGTTTGGATCTTTCAACATTAAATACAAATAGCCAAATCCTCACCCTCCTTACAAGTTAGTCAATGTGGCCCAGTGGTGAAAGCTGGTATGTTTTGTTCTGCAAATGGAAGGTTCAAAGCTGACCTTTGTCAAATACTTTTTATAGATTTTTTTGATGAAACTTTACAAAAGTTATTGATTGTGTCAAGTAAAACACATTTTACTTATTTAAAAAGTATTTTATGTGACACAGTCAATACACTTTGTGCAGTAATTTGATGGAGGTCTGGCTTGAACAACAAAATATGCTGGCTTTCACCATTGAGCCATGTTGTCTTGCTTGCAAAGTGTAAGAGGATTTTCCTATATATATATATATGCTTAATGGTGAAAGTTCCTAAGTTTAAGGCCCAGTTTCTCCATAAAAATGCAATATGAGGGAAAAAATGGTTTTTGGATTTTTAGTATAAAAATGCACCAGTGAAATACTATTCCAGATATTTTTGTTTTGTAAGAGTTGCTAAGATATCTGTGTTAGTATATTTATTTAATTTTCTTTATTCAAAATTCTTTAAATATTTTAAACTGACTGTAAATGATACAAATTGGATATGAGTAGTACACAAGTCATCATTTTGTTTTAAATGTAACTATGCTTAATGTTGTATAAAGTGCTTTATGACATTAAACCATCTCAATGGGTTACAACTAACAACATGAGCGGGAAGCAGTCTTACAAGAAAAGATTGAGGATATTGATAACTGCAGAAACTGTAAAAATAGCAGTGTATTTTACAGTATTATATAGTAAAATAAATATTAACTGAAATGATGTAAACTGCATGTTAATATTGGTCTTGAGGTTAATAAGGCAGTGTATCCGTATTATACTGCTAGGATTATAATCTATTTACTCTACTTTATAACATATAAGACACTTTTTTTTAAAGCCCCTAAAAATCATCCTATATCTAATATGTAAAGTTAAAAAAAATGCATCTCTCAGTTTTGCCCCCATAAGCTAAGATCTACCTAGTCTTTCCCCAGACAACTGTAAATTAAAATATAAAAATTTATCTCATTTGGCTGTTATTCCTGATGGGCTGACATGCCAGTTACAGCCCTTGGATGCATCCATAAATAAACCTTTTAAACAAAACATGCATGAGGAGTGAAGCAAATGGATGCAGGCCTCATATCATGACCTCACACCCACAGGAAAAGTGAAACAGTCCAACATTTCACAGGTATGTGAGTGGGTGAAATATTCATGAAGGCTTCAAAAAGTGTGGCATTAGTAATGTCTTAGATGGAACTGAAGATGATGCATTATTTAAAGATTTCACTATCCATAATTAGTAGTGATGAAGATTTTGCTGGATATTTAGATAAGAAAAGCAATTTTTTTGCAGAACAACAACTTCTTTTGTTATTTACCACACTGTTTTACTGAAAAGTTTTTTATTGTTATGCAAATTTGATTTAATATGTTGCATGTATGATATTTTTCTTGATACACAAATTTTATGTTTTATTTTATTTGGAGTAAAATATTAAATGCTTTGATACACTTAAAAGTTTTTTTTCCTAAATATTCTTTGCTAAAACATGGGTGCATCTTATATGCTGTAAAATACAGTTGTTTTAAAAGTATTTTGTCTGTGAACAATCTTACATTTTTAGCATTAGTCTAGTGATGAAAGTCAAATAAACCTTTACTTCTTAATTTATTATTGACCAACAGTTTTTTCTAGTCAAAAACTACTGTATAATTGTTAATAAAACATTTATTGCTAAGTGTCGACAGCTATGTGCGCTCCCTGTAATTGGACTTAAGGATAGCTTTTTATGAAACTTCTGAATCAATCAATAAATTATCAAACTCAGATTTTCATACTTCAGCAAGTGTGTATGTTACAGGATAATAAAACTGTTGAATATCTGACTGCGAGCTGTGGTTTTGCACATAAATATTGATTTGACTAGTATAAAAGTCCGTCAAGAATGTTGGGAACCATTGTTGAATGATTAAGGAAAATTATAGAATTTATCTAAAACGAATTTGTTTGTACCTCCAAAATGCACCTACTCTTCACTTATTCCTTCAGTCTCAAAGTAATTCTTTAATCACTACATTTTTAATGAAAACTATACAGAAAAATTAAACGTTATTGTGAACAAAAGTACAAGTGCATTCTGAAAGAGACTTAAACAGCACTCTTGAGCCTTTTGACTGTATTCTAGGTCAGAATTATAAAACATAGTGGAGACATTCTAACATACATTTTCAACTCTTTTGATTGTACAAAGGATAAAAGATATCTGGTAGTAATAAATGTTTATTTTTCTTTGTTTTAAGGCCTAGTGGATAATATATGTGTTAAAACGCCAAAAGAATATTTATTAATTAACATTTATTCACCACTTAAAACTTTTTAAACACTGACTCTATAATGTTAGTAATAGTAGGCCTATTTGTAGTTTAATTTAAGCATTAAGCCTAATATACATTAACGTAAGGCTTAGTTGAAATACTACTTGATAAATTGTATTTTGCTTTTGGCTACAACTCAGTGTCATAAAACTACTTATTTAAACTATTTTGTTGTTATATCACCAAATTTACCAAAAGAAATAAACCTTTCTAACTGATCAACATGAATTTTGACCATTCAACATAACACCGTAGTTGAGCTAAGAACAATGATATGATAGTTTTGTTGATAAGCAATGATGTATATTATTGAGCATTACCAAAAAAGGAGCATGAAAGCATTCTTGACAGAGCAACAAAGGAAATAAGCCTTTTATAGTTAGTGATGTACTAACCCTGGACAAGGTTTCATCAAGCAGTAATTTAGGGACAAAATTAAGACCCTTTCAAACATATTCTAGAGTGTAAAATTGTACAAAGTTATTATATAATGTTTTGTAACTTTATATTGAAGTGCAGGATTACTACCAAAAGGTGGAACTCTCCAAAATTCATAACAACCATTTATAGTTTTGATTAGTGAAACAAAATAAACATTATGTAAATATCTTGTCCATTTAAGAGATAAGAAGCATTAATAGTACCTGTTCTTGAGACACCTAAATTTTTTGAGAGTTAGTATCATACATATAAAAAGTAACAGTCAAGCTGTGTAATGTATTCTTAAACTTTGTCTACAATTTAAGGTACTAAGTTTTTCAGATGCAACTGTTTGTTTTTTTTTAGAAATAAAAAATAATATTGCAGTTTCAACTTGGGTTGAAGGAATATTTTTTCCACAAAGATGATAAAGTAACTGCTCTTCACTTCTATAAAACTTCTGTGGCTGTATTATTTATAGCACTATCATAATGAGTATAATAATTTATAACTCCTGATTTATTTTTTCTCTTCCATTGTCAGCAAAAGAATTTGTAGAGAACAGTAATATTGTGAATGAGCATGAACATGAGTACAGAAAACAGGAAGATTACGTTGAAAAACAGTTTGGTATATATGAGCAGCCATCTCTTGAAAATATCTTGTATTCTGTAAGTAATCTTGTATTTATACTTGACATTCCTGATACAGTGCTAATATTTCTTTAGGAATTCAAAATAAAATTGTAAATACGTCACAAAACAAAGTGTTAAAAAATTTTAGATGTATGTTTGCATACAATAATTTACTAAGCATTGGTTAAGGATTCATTAAATGGACTCAAAACAGGGCAGCCATTACAGTTTTTGTAAAGTTTAGGGTTGTATATTTGGTTTGTTTTTGAATTATTCAAGAAAAAAGTTTTAGTATTATAAGAAGACTTATAAAAGCCTAAATTTTTGATATCGGTTATTTCTGAAAAAGATTGCTTACCCTTGTGTTTAGAAACATTTCCTGAACTAGCTCATAATAAAAAAAAACCATAAAAAGGTAAAAAAAAAAGAGAGAAATATATACAGTACAAAAGTTTACAAATTGCAAATAACCCAAGATTAAATTTTTAATAATACAAATTCACAGATAAAACTGGTTCTAAACACTGGAAAAGAAAAATTTAAATTAGCTTTTAGCCTATTACAGTTAACACATTCGCTGTCACTAGTAGTATTAATAAATTAAACATTCAAGAGGTGCTGAGGAGCAGTTACAGTATCCCAAACACATATGCCACAAGAGAAATTTAGCTTTGAAACATAATTGTTTGTGACCCACCAGTGTGTCACGTGGTCCACAACTAAAGGTCAGTTGTGACCCACAGGTGGGACACACGGTAGCAAATGTGTTAGAGAAAGAATGAATAAATTCCATTAGAACAGAATGTCTGTCATGATATAAATGACTGTTTGGCTTAAATATTAGTGATTAATTTATATTTGTGAGTGCATATTATTTTTAAGTTTTGTTATAATAAGAGTTAAAAGCAGATGATTGTTGAAGGTTTTGTTAATAACTAATTGGTGTCGAGAATATAGAAAGTGGCCAGACGACTGTGTAATAAAGATATAAATAGCGTGAGATAAGTGGGAAGCAGCATACAAACAACAATAGACAGATAATAGCAAAAGAGAATATAGTTGTGTGAAGTTAAGTACCGCAAAGGTGATAGGCCTAACGTTTAATATGTTAGAGTGAAACTAACAGTATTAGCATTTGCAAGGATAATTCTGCTACACAGGTAATTAGTATCATTTCCATACTGTTTACTTTTCATCATCATATATGTTTCACATCTATCTTTGAATTCAATAGGCTATTCTCAGTCTTAGTAGCTATTTATTGTGAAAAATAAAAACTTTTTCTGCAGATTAAAACAAGTTTTTATGGCCTTGATGCATCCGAAAAGAATGAACTTGATGATCACCAAGTAGTTTGTACGGTCAACTTTAAAGGTCAGTCTGTTCTGGAAGGAATCAGAGAGCTTGTCTGCCAGGGGATTGCAGACAGAGACTTGCCAGACTATGTAGGAAACCTTTCTCATCTGGGTGTGAACAAGGTGACAATAAAAGAAGACAAATGATGTGACTAGGTGAAATGCCTGTGATTTTTAACAAACTTTTTGACACTTCTGTTTTATTAGGTTTAAGTTAGAGCCAATAGTGTATGTTCATATGATGTAGTTGTATTTTATTGTTTTGCGTCCAACGCTGCTATCAGTACAACTGAAAGTTATTCTAGTTATACATGGTTGCTAAATCTTTTAATTGAAAATAAAGTTTCCCTTTTGTGAGGTCACTTGATAAAAGCTTTACAGAAATCCAACAAATATTTTAGATAAGCAAGAAATTTTAAAACTTAGAAACTCTGTGATCCTTTTAAAAGATTCATACCAGCCGAATGTTGTTGTAAAATCATTTTTTACATAAATTCATTATGTTGACTTAAAATCTCAGTACAAGAGTTTACTAGATTTAAATTTGTGAGTATTATTTGTATTGTGTACTAATTTTAAAGTTTTAGAAAATACTGAAAATATTCATAATGCATTAGGAGTAATACAAGGAGAAAACTTTTTTTTTGTACCATCACAACTAGTACATTAACTTCATAGGAGTAACACAATAAGATATTTTTTTTTAGTATCATAACTGGTACATTAGTTCCATGTTTTACGAGTTATTAGTGAAATAACATTTCATTTTCTCTGCTAAACTAGTTATTAGCTAATTTCAGAAACTTTTATAAACTTGTTTAAGAACATTGAAGAATTTTTGTATAGTTTTAGATATGATCTTCTAAGGGTTTGACAAGATTTGTGTAAAAATAAATTTTTAAGGTGACACTAAAGTTTATGACTTATTGAAATTGTGTATTTTCCAAATTTAGTAACAACAATCAATTAGTTTATCAAATAACAACTATTTTTAAAAAAACAATACCATACTCATGCAACCACAATGCTATGCTAGATGATGATATTACAAAGTAGGCCTAAATTTATTGTGAGATCCTGGATCTATGTTCATGCAACCATCAAAATATTATGCTATATAATTAATTGATGTTACAAAGTAGGCCTAAATCTATTGTGAGGCCCTCTTTTTCCACAACATGGATCTATGTTCATGCAACCACCAAAATATTATGCTATATAATTAATTGATGTTACAAAGTAGGCCTAAATCTATTGTGAGACCCTGTTTTTCCACGACATGGATCCATGTTCATGCAACCACCACAGCATGATGCTAGATAATGAACTAATATTGCAAGGTAAGCCTAGACCTATTGTGATATCTTGTATTTGCAGTGTACAGAAACTTAGGTTCATCAGCATGATAAAACTTTAAGTTCACATTATAAAATATATTTAGCATCTTGTATAAACTTACCTTCAAATTACTTTTGAAATTTGTATTTTAGAGAACCTGAATATTTTTTTTAGTCCTAAATATTTTTCTTTGAATATGCTCTAGGCAATACTCCTCCTGATATAAATGGTTGAACAAAAGTGACTACACAGTTGTTTCATTTAAAACAAAGTTTAATTTAATTAAATTTGTACCAGTTGTGTTTTCTTTAGAACTATCTGTATAATACCAACTATATAGTAACTTTTGCCCTACTCTGTATAATTACTATCCACAGCTGTGTAATATTTCCAAATTTTTCCTGCTAATTTACCCACTTGATTAGCTTTTTGTTTTAGAAAACCTTTGAATGCAAAGCTATAACTGATTCAACAGACAACTTGTGAAGTTCCTGATATGTGAATTTCTTTTTTTTTTAAAAGTTATTGATCTCCCTACATTCCATTTCAAGATAGAAAATACTACAGGAATGAGGCATAATAATTTTGTTCTTCTGTTTTGGGTCATTATCTTGATTCAAGTATATTTAATTATATATTGACTGAAAATTTTTCTTTTATAAAAAAACAACAAAAAACATACAAGGATGACCACATTTCAAATCCCATGCATTAAGACACAACTTGTTTAGCAATGTTCTTAAAAGATTAAAAATTCACATTGTGTTGACTTGTACAATATACTTTCATTTATTGAAAAATGTGGCACAACCCTAAAAACGACTACAGTTTCAGTAATGCTATATGCTGATATATATATATATATATATACCAATATAAAAATAAATTTACAAAGCCACACCATTTCACCCACAGTGCCATTTCGACCTCATACAAAATAATTACTCCAAACATCCAGAAAAGTATACAAAACTGAATTCCTGTACTTTGTTTATACAACACCTGGACCAAAATCTTTATTTAAAATATTATATATTTTTGTTATATTAGAGGATTGATATAAATTTTAAAACATAATGGTGTATTTTAGATGGTTTACCAAAAGTCCATAAAGAATTGTCCTACTAAGCTAGTGGTTTCAAATTTAGTTACAATGACGAATTTGCTTGTTTTTTGGAATTATTTTTTAAAAACATTACACGGGATCTCTTCCCTCAGATAGAGGTTTCTCATTGGTAGGGATCAGATTTGGGATTTATCTGATTATGGTGAAAGTTATAAAGGATGTTGTGTACAATGAAATATGACAATTACAATTTATAGTTTTCAAATTGGACAGAAATTGACCAAGTTATAACTGGCCACATCATCAGAAGAAACCCCATAGATAATGACAGTACTTGTTGCTGTGTAATTGACAGGTCCTCTATATGTGCCTTCCTCTTTGCCCATCACTGCATATGTTTTCTACACTAAAACCCAATAGATCTTCAGCAGATAGCTTCAAACTCTGCTGACCATAACTGGAACTTTGCTACTCTTCAACATGTCATTAGTCATCACTATTCCCTCAACTACCTACATGTGCAAGGTACTGAAATGTTCAATTTGCAGTTTGTGCAGCTGCTCTAGATGCAATCATGATGGACTTACTGAAGCAGATCCATCCATCAAGCCCAAAGGTACTGTGACAACACTCAAAAATTGGTTTGGTACTGACAAGGACTTTAGTGATAGTAGTAGCCTTCTGTCAGATCAGAAGATCAAGAACAAGGTCTTAAACTGGTGCTGACAAGGACTGTAGTGATAGTATTAGCCTTCTGCCAGATCAGAAGATCAAGAACAAGGTCTTGATCAGTGCTGACAAGGACTGTAGTGATAGTAGTAGCCTTCTGCCAGATCAGAAGATCAAGAACAAGGTCTTGAACCTCAAAAAGAAAAGTTGCATAATTTGATATGAGAATTAAAAAAAAAGCAATAGTCACTTCGTGTTTATGATCATTCCTGGTAAGATAGTGTGGCCACTTTGAAACCCTGATGTCTGTTTTGACTATTCATAACCTTCCAAGGTGAATGCAACACCTCCAAGAAACAATTACTGGAGGTTCTTTTCCTTGATATTCCACCCAAAACCACTACTACACCATTAGTTTAGGTGTGTTAGAAATATCCAAAAAGTTGGGAGATTTAAAATTTGATATACCAGTTTGCTGTGCAATTTATTGTATTGTGAATCCTTGTATACAAATATTCCTTTACAACGACCGTCCAATTGGTGACACATTTGGTTTCACAAGATTTGATTGTGCAAGGTTTAATTAAATTGTTTCTTCTTGAATTTTGACACTAAACAATCTCACTTTCAGCTTAATAGTTGAATTTATAAGCATATAAATGATGTTGCTATGTTCTCTAAGTTTGCTCCTAATTCAGCTAATGTGTTTTTATGTTATCATGAAAACAATGGCTAAATAATTCTCCCGAGAGTTTCAGACCTGTCAAATATCATTGGCATGTTGTTGACACTTTTTGATCTTTAAACAAAGAGAACAAGTGAATTTCTTTTTAGAATGTTTAAATAAATAACATCTTTGTATTAAAATTACATTTGAAAGAGAAACTAACTGAAAATTTTCAGACTTAAATATTAATAATACTGGCAACCATTTAAAAATAGGAACTATCATAAACCAACATTTGCAGGGTTGTATGGTTTTGTTGACAGTTTCACACTTTTTAAATAGAAACTTGATTGAATAAATATTTTATAGATTACCATATTCCTAGTTATTACCACCATTTTATTAAGGAAATAAAAGATGTAATAAAGTTCCTATGTGTGTGTGTGTATATATAGTAGAGGTGACTGATACCAATATTAATATATTTTATTCAAAACACGAAACAAGTAACAAAAGTTTTTAATACTCATATCGGCCATCTCTGCTATATATATATTCAACTGGGTTCCTCGTCATCAAGTAACATAGTTCTGTTAGAAAATGGTTTTCAGCCTTCATTACTGGATAATATATTGAAAGTTTTTTTAATGTACTGTACACCTCTCAGAGAGCAAGTGTGCCCAGAAAAATCAGTTCATACAAGTTTGCCTTTTATGTATAACGACAGTTATCAACTGAGAATTAAAATCTGAAATATCTTTTTCAATATCTAGGACAAAACAACAAATTTCACTATTCCTATTTTGTTTATCGATATGTTCTTGTTATTGAAAAGAGAATGTGGTTTCCATGATACATCATTTGGAACAACATATCTCAAGCCCAGCATTGGTAATTTTTTAAACATCTACAAGTATCTAAATCAAGACTTTGATGATGTGACTGGTGAAAGTAATTTCACTATAAAATGTAACTACAACAATGTCCACATGAAAGAAATCTTGGCGATCAAAAAACGTAATTCTTTATTGTAGTTAAATACATTGGTCATAGACATTCTTCTAAAAATGCAAATCCAAATTGAATACCTATGTGCATCAATTACAGTTATTAGTGTCATTAAAATAATCAGTGAATTGAAAATTTTAGTTTTTGATTATTCTAATTGTCCAAGTAATATTGCCATTATGAATTTCATTTAATTCAAGGTTCAACTTAAAAACATGTAATGCCATTAAGGCATTAACCTATTCACATACATGGTTCCTGTTTAATTAGGAATAGTTCTAGCTAAATGTTGTGTACATGAAATCTTATTGAAATACAGCCATATTTGAGAACTTAATGAGTGAATTAATTAAAACAGTTGGAACTGAAAACAGGAAAGATTCAAACTTGAAAGAACATGGATGAAGTAGAATGTTGAGTAAGATACACAATGTTATCAGAGCTTGAGCTGTACAGAATGCATGGTTTGATGCTTATTCCATTCATTATAAAGAAAATTAATTCATATGCATTAAAATCAATGTGTCAGATTTTAAAAATGATAATATATATATGTGTTCTTCTTTTTGCCAGTTGTTGGAATAAATGGCTTTTACTTATATTTCTCAATAGTATAAATATATACTATTGTTACGCCTCCGTTCGTTTATTTTCCGTATAATTTCTTTCTGAAGAA